AGCATGCGAGCTATATTGGTGGACCCTGACCGTTAATGATTGGACCGGCTGATGTCATGCATGACTATGGCTTACACTGGCTTTCAGAACTTCCTCTTCGATGGAAAGATGGTATCCGGTGGGCATAAGATTATTCAGTGGCTTGCGGACTTCAGCGAGAGTTAGCGAAGCGTTGATGAGTATGGTTGGTTGCTGGCTCGTGAAAAGATCTACGCGTGTCTGCGATGTCGGCTTGTAGGTCATACGCCGGAATGACTAGTAGAAGACAGGTAAACGGAAGAGCGGAGCATCCAAATGTGACAAGTTGTTGCGAAGAGGAGTGGTTGCTCGTAGGATGTGGAGGCGAAACCATAAGAGATGGACGATCAGAGCACCTAGAAAGGTACATAAGGCACCCGCACCGGCTTCATATCCACCTCATCCATCAACAACTCGCCACAGCTCTAACTTCCATACATCGCCCAGCATGCTGTTCACTACTGCTACCCTTCTTTTGCTCACCTCAACCACGCTCGCCGCACCCGCTACCCTTCTACCCCGCGCTGCTCAGTGCGGTCAATACCAATCTCAGTCATCCGGCCCCTACACGCTCTACACCAACGGCTGGGGCTTCTCCTCTGGAACGGGTTCTCAATGCTCTCAAATCGATAGCTATAGCAGCACAGCTGGGCTAGCGTGGTCAACAACATGGTCATGGTCTGGGACGCCCAACCAAGTCAAGAGCTACACGAACGTCGAGACGGGCTTCACCAAGAAGCAGATTGGTAGCTATACGAGTATGCCAACGATGTGGAAGTGGGGTTACACTGGAACCGATTTGCGAGTCAATGGTATGTTACTTGTGCCGTTTCTCGTGCACTCTCTTCGTCTCTGGGGTCTGTAGGCTAATGCCGAGGTGCTATCCCGCAGTGGCTTACGACACCTTCCTCGGCTCATCGGCCAGCGGAACCAATCTCTTCGAAGTCATGGTCTGGCTAGGTGTCTACGGCGGTGTATCACCCTTGTCCGCGAACGGATACCCTTTTACGCCTATCGCGACCGTTACTATTGGCGGTCAGATCTTCGACCTCGCATACGGGCTCAACGGTTCGGTCAAGGTATACAGTTTTGTTGCTCGTGGCGGTCGGGCGACAAACTTCAGCGCTGACTTGGTACGTTACATGAGTCTACTTTGTGGATATGATAGGGAAGCTAATGTGTCGATTCAGAACCTGTTCTTCCAGTACTTGTTGGCGAACTACGGAAGCAATGGTTTCACGAGTAGTTTGTATCTGCAGGTTGTGCAGGCGGGTACGGAGGTGTTCACTGGAAGCAATGCGAAGATGACTACGACGGCGTATTCTATCGCTATCAACTAAACAGTAAGGTATCGCATACCGCGTAGCACGTTACAAGTCTACTCGAAAGTACTGTCTCAGTCGTTGACCTTGAGCAGATGTAAGGTCAAGCAAATGTACAATCTGAGACATGCTTGTAATCAATGCGCTTACTACGAAGAGGCTGTACATGTCATCCTTTATCTATCCATCCAATATTTGTCAAAGAGTTATACAAAACGTCAAAATCGTAACCCGTGACCCGTGACCCGAATGCGAAGACCCATCGCTGCCAGTATAAGCGCTTCCAAAACGCCGATTCGCCATGCCCATGTGCGTGCCCGTTGCGCCCGTCGTGCCCCTCATTTTGCTTCTCAAGCCTCCAGGGCTGTGCCCCCTCAGCCCCTCATGTCGATCTCACCAGGGTATGCCAGCGCGACGGTCTCGCCTTCGAAACCCGCACCGACGCTCAGAAGGTCGACCCTGAACCTCTCAGTATCGCTCTGAACCCTCGACCGAGGCTCCGCAAGCTCGTAGTCATCCATACGTGATGATGCATCATATGAACCGAATACCGATCTCACAGACGACGCCAGCTCATCGCCCATCACATCTTGCGCGCGATAATAACGCTGTCGCACCCAGTGGAAGTAAACGGCAAGCGCGTCGCGATGGTTCGGGATGCCGACGGAAGCGAGTGAGCGACGGAACGGGAGCTTGACGGCGTAGGGATAGGCTGGGAACGGGTGGGTCAGCTGAGAGATCGAGAAAGTTGGGAATGCCATCAGGAGTTGGTGCGGATGTGTCGGTACGCTAGACCAGAAGGGGTATGGTGGGCTGAGCTGGGGCGCAGCGTGCCGGTGGTGTCGGAGAAGGAAAGATGTCGGAGGTGTGGACGGGACGGTAAGCTGACTTACTGTTGCGAGACATGGTCCACGTTGGCGAGTATCTCGTATGGGTTTTGGAGTTTGGATGCGGTTGGGCGTCAAGGTCAAGAAGTTGGGTGGTAGTCGAGTGTGTAGTGAGGTGGATTAACGAACGATGTCTGAGTGAGAATGTGTTGAGTGTCCGAGTTTATGTAGTCTCTTCTTGAGATAGAGTACCAAGGTGAAATAGCTGTCGAGAGAGGATTCGATGTACAAGGCGACTATATAGTATTGATGTGCAAGGTGGGAACGAGGTTGGCAAGTGAGCAAGTCAGTATATCCGCAGAATGAGCAAAAGGGTATTGCGCATACGCGTCCATGGCACACTTATGACTGTCACAGCGGCCGTCCTCACGACCACGTTGAAGCCTCACGACCAAGGCATATGCCCTTTCCCGATCGAGCAGCCAACAAGAGCCAAGACGTCGTCCTGGGGTAGGTTCGCCAAGCTAACCACCGGCAAAAGCGTCATAATTGCTACAAAGGGGAACTCATCTCAGCTGCGACGGCTGTGAGCCCTGCACGGGGACTGGGTAGTTTGGCAGAAGCGAGAGGGTTGCGACTCCTGATAGGCATGGGCGAGGGTCGGGCGTGGTGATGTTGCCGAGCCGCGTGTTGCGACCGTCTGGCAGCCCGTTTCAAAACTTCACCGGCCGGGCGCTGCAGGAGAAACGCACGAGATCGGGGGGCTGAATCTTGACATCGTCGGCTGCTGCGCGTCGCGACTCCTTTGGCGTGCATCGCACGTACGTTAACGGGTCGTCGAGCAGAGAACGCGTGGGCCCTGGGGGAGAGCTCCAGCCCCGCGCTTGCCGCTGGGCCAGCGACTCGAGGCTCTCAGCGTGCGTCTGACAGCGTCACTAGTCAGGGCCGGCCAACGAAGTCTGCTTCATCCGCCCCTATCGCTATCACAGCGTCTTACCATCTCGCTTTGCGCGACTTCAAGCCAGGAGTTGGGTTCACGCAAGCGCGCCAAGCGTGGTGAGTGAATTTGACAGCACGTACACACCTCAGTAGGGACAAGCAACGCCCAGGGATGGCTGACTGACAGCAGGGGCCACTTGCTCAAGCACCCCATGCTCCTACTTTCTTTTTTCTTGTACTCTGACCGTGTAACCTCATCATTTTGCAGCTTTCTGGGTCTTTCTTGGTCATCGTATCCAAGCTGCACGCGCAGCCGAGTCAGGATACCAGAGACAAAAGGCAGTCGTCCCGATCGACGGGTGATTTCCCATGCCGCCTCATCGAACGAGGTACACGTAGATGCTGGGCGCGAGTAGCGCAGGATGTAAGGCTCACCGCACTAGCCACAAGCCAGACCATAAGAGGAACAGAGTTTGCTGATCGGTGTAAGATGTGCCACAGCGTTCCTGGAGTAGCAGTGGGCCCAGGCCGAACCGGGGGAACTCTTGGGATGTCAAAAAGCCTATTCGATGACACGGGCCAAATGGTTGCGACGTGACTTCACGCTGTCGCATTCGCATGCGGCCCCCAAAAGCCAACAGCTGGGTACGCGTCGTGTTACGGCATGCGAATGCCTTCAACATTGGTAATGCTACTCGACCGAAACCTTTCCGACCTTCAGCGTGCCAGTAATATGCGATGGTATTACGAGTGTTTGTCATTCATGTCGACGCTTGGGCAATGCGCTCGGGAGTATGCATAATCCTATCAATCGCTTATCAAGCGAGTTGGAACGGTAACCTTGAAACCACCTCCATGGGCATGAGCAGAGACATATGACCGTCCATTGGCTACTTGTGTAGTCGGGCGGGCTTGTGCGAGAATTTCTCAGCAAGAACTGACCAAGCCTTCTCTTTTCCCTGCATCACATATTGAGAAGGTGCAGCCATTGTTGTATCATCGTAAAGTTGTCGCATGTACGGCAATATCAACCCAGGGTCGTCATATGTCCGGTGTCCAAATTGCGATGCGACTATGGTCCAGGCGGCAGCAGGCGCGAGGAAGCTCTGGTCCAAGACAAAACACAGGTATGCAGCTCCCTCCATTTCTTGCACGTTTCTTGCTTTCATTCGCTCCGTGCCCCCTAGAAAGCCGGCGCATTCACGATGGTCAAAGCCTACCCGTCGCAGGCTTTGATGTGTAATACCATCCGGTCCCTGCTGACCGTTTACACTCGACAGCTCCAGGAACACCGACAAATCCACTCGATCGCTGCATCGTTCGCACGTTTCTCTCTCCTATTCGCTGGATGTCTGTCAGCTCGAATCTATGCGTTCTGCACTCCATATATGCAGCAATCCTTGTCTTCAGAAGAGGTTGCTGCATGACCGGTCAGCGCGACAGAGCACCGGACAGATTTTGAAACACAAACGCAGTGAAAAACTTTTTCATGTGGCTGCGCAAGCCACTGATATCCTTGCGACACGGGAGAGGCCCGAGTGAACGGTTGCTGTAGGCTGCGGTCGTCTTGTTGAGGGTTGGCAGGTGCACAGCCTCGATGCGGCTCTGCAAGCTGACTGATGGGTGCACTCTGACGAGCGACCGTCCGGTAATGTGCACGCCGCATTCACAGACGAAGGAACGGTCATTGCATGCTCTGACCAAACGATGCAAAATGACTAAAAGTCACTCCTGGGCAAAGGGCGCTTTCGCGATCGGTAGTGTATTATGTCCGTCAAGCACATTAGTCTAACCCCCAGTGGAGAGGCTTTGGTGCGACAGCCGTTCTAGCCATTACGCACCATCCTATCAACCTCTAAACGCGTCGAAGGGTAAACGATCTTACGCTCAACACTCAAGCATCCACATTCCAAGGGTAATTCTGCTTAACCCAAATGATATCCATCTCGCTCGGCTTCGTGGCGCGTTCCAGTAGCCCAAGTCCCTCGCCATGGTCGTTCGAGTCGAGGTAGGCCTGAATGGGACAGTCCACACCATTGTCATTGCAATCTGGCTTTGCATAGCCGTTGCGGCTAGGATAGTGCATGACGCTCGCGAGGTCGTAGCCAGAGGCAGCTTGGATGGGCCAGCCGGGCTCGACAAAGTTCTTGATGAAGGCGACGCAGGTGCATTGGTACTTCAGAGCGCGGTACATGGATAGGCAGAGACCGTCTTCGGTGATGCGGTCGCCTTCCGCTTGACGGGCACGGTGCCAGCACTGGGTTGGTGATGTTAGTATGCGGTATGTGTCAGTGAGGGCGGTAGCCACTTACGTCTTCCCAGTCGGCAAGCTGCTTGTATTGTACTTTGATGTATTTTTCGCGGTCGTTGCGGTTGTGTTCATGCGCCATGCCTTATGATTGTTAGTATCGACGTCTGCGGTCGCTGGCGATGTCTTACCCAATACGTGACCAAGCTCGTGTAGGACACCACCGAGCGTAAAGCCATCGGCGAGGCGAACCAGATTCTGCCAGGGCTTTCCGTTTTGCGTCAGGCCCACAGCGGCGCCCCAGCCAGCGCCGTCGGTGAATTCGATGGCCACAGTGTCATGAGGTATACCTGCGTTCCAGCCATCTCGGTATTTCTTGACGGGCGCACAGTACATTGGCTTTCCATCGCTAGTCAAGCGCTCTTTGAAGCTGATAGCGTGGCCGGAGTCTTTACCCGCAGCGCCGCCAAGATACCTAGAGCGGTCAATTAGACACTCATCATATCTCGTTATAGATGCGCCTTTGCTTACTCGACCCATTTTGCCATACCACTCTCAGTGATGTGGCGGATATTGTGGCGATCCCACTCCTGTGTAAAGCAGTATGGGATAACGACGTTGTTGGTTGAGTCGCGTGGCCAACGGATTGGTCCAGGACTCGAGCCCCAGGCGTCGGTAGAACCTTGACCGTTCTGAACAGACAGGGTCTCAAGTTCCTCGAAGTACTCCGCCCAATCAGTTACTTTAGTACCATTTTCGAACACGGGCGAAGGAGTGCCGCAGAAGGGACCATAGTTGGGGACCGGTTCGTTGATAGCGACTGCGACCGCAAGGGCGGCGAGTTGTAGAAGGAAGAACAGAAACATTTTTGCGGATAGCCAACTCGTTGTGGGCAGAGGTGGAAGCACTTATAACGCGGTCAGGAGACGAGCAAGTCGCAGCCTGGAGGCCAAGAAAACTCCACCACGCGCAATTGTGGTACGTGCAGGTGAGCAAACACTCGACTGTGAGCTAGTAGTCGTCGGATGAAGAGTAGAATTGTACGATGACGTATCTACACCCGAGGAATGCGAGCACATTCCTTAGGACGGCGACGTGAAATGTGACTGCACCAAGTCCTCTCCGTTGTACTTTTTGTGCTCTGGAGGTAGAGAATAGACAAACAGGGGCCAGTTTTGGAACTACTACGATTTTTCGGATGTGACACAAAGGCTGCCCATATCGCAGTAATCCAACTCTTTCTGCTTCATGCCGACCACATTTCGAACATAACGGAATGCGGTGCACTGAGAAAGACACGAAATAGATGAAGCGGAGGTAGTTGGTAGCTAACTTCGGAATGTGTTCACCACCATCGGTAGCGCGTCTGTACTGCAGGTGAAGCAGGTTTGAGATCCAGTGTGCGACAATGAGGTTACTAAGATAAGACGATGTGATCGTTGACTCTAATCTGAATTGGCAAACCGTACGATGAAGATGCACATTGATGAGTATAGTTTCTTCGGCTGCAGCTTGCGATTCACTTAGTTTGGCTAGTCGAAGCTCAATGGGACGGGTTGTGGAACGGATTGTTGTACCGAGCGTGGATGGTCTTTCGCTGTTCTCGCGAGCATTCGAGGTTGTGACACGAGATACATCGAGACATGATCGGATCGCATTCCCCGAGGAATGTTGGTAAAGCATTAGATGCCGTGAAAGAGTGAAGGAAAGAGCTGGCGCGTCTGTGTTGCCCTCAGAGTCGAAGCTAGCCAGCTTTGGAAGAGACACGTGAGCGGACCCCCTCATCACTCCCAGTTCCGATCCCGCGTTCCGAGGTCATTCCGTAACACGCCATCATCCACGAAGCATCCAACACAAAATAGATTACTACATTGCCTATTGCAAACTAGAAGCAATCGCTTTTGGAGACTGTACCGTACTGCCGTGGGATAGGTTCCACTACCTAGGTAGCATCAACCCTCCAATACAACTGGACCCGTTTCCTTCCGATACTATCACGTGAAAAGAGCATTCCTAGGTACCTAGGTACACCGGGAGTGCAGATGTCAGGTAAGCTGAGCGTACAACGGTGTTCCCAATAATCGAGAGAATGTTCATCTTGACCTTAGCAGCTGCAAGCGTTGTGTCTGCTACTCTTATGACAGCAGCTCTTTTATTTGCATAATGGAGCGATTGCGTGTGCTGAGGTCGCAGAATCAGTGTCAGGCATGCATGGCTTTGACCTTTGACAACTTGCGTGATATAGATAGCCTATGTGGGGTTGTTCCCGTCGACGAGTTCTAAGTAAAGCAGTATATCGTGCGACCTATATCCCAATGGATGTACATATGCTGCGCAGCGGAGTCATGTCCGTACTGGTCGACCAAAGTCATGACGCGGCTTCAACGCGCTCGTCGCCCCTGTCGTGTACCTGAAAACCCCTCATACGAATACCCACAGTTTTGAAGGAAAACACTTCTTCCAGACTGTACCAATTCGAGCACACTCTCGGACGCCACGAAAGATTAGGAGAGGGAAGCGACAGGACATCGTGGCGACCAGGAGACAGTGGGGCATTGGTGATAGTGGCTGCGTCTCCAATACCACAAACGGCCCCTCACGACCCAGCAGGACCCGACTCTTCATTCCATGCCCCACCGTCTAACGCGGAAGGTGGCCAGTTCCTGTCAAATGGCCGCTTCAGCCGAGCTAGATGCGATGATCTGATAAGATTAGATGTCATCGTGACCAGCAAGACCGGCTAGCGCCGCTACCTAGCTGTCATGAGGGGCAGTTCGCGCGCAATTGGGGATGAGCTCTTTCCCAACAACATCCACCTCATGATCCTGCAACAGCACTACGAAAGCCACATGTCTCCATTAAAACAGCCACAAGCAAAGATTTGGACGCGAAGAAGTTTCTGCTCATGCTCGTGAACAGTCGGGCCTCTTCACAATGGAGTTCCCACGCTGGCTGCTAGTGTCGCCAGCTAGAAGACGCCAGGAACGGCGCGAAACTGGATCATGCAACCACGACGCGCTTGCTCAACGAGGATGCTCTTCCTCGTACGGTTCCATCCACAAGGCGAGACCCTCAGGTTGGTCCCGCACGGAATTGAAGCTTCGGCGCACACTGCTCGTTTCGATGAGCCGGGAGCTCCATCCGCCACTGACATCCCGGGCCAAGACCTTGGCAATGCAGAGTTGCGGCACAGCCAAGACGAGCCAGCAATCAGCTCACAGCGAGATTGGATCTTATCTGATCATCTAGCACTTATCTGATCATCTAGCCGCGCCTAATGCTCTCTGGGCATACGAGATACCTGGACGGTGGGAGATGATCCCAAGCCACCGGGTGGGATACACATGGCAAATTTTTCAGATGCTGTAACTGCGCTGACATTCCCTGTCCGGTCTTCGGAGAATGGGCCGATGGTGTACTTAAGTATGGCAGCGCTGCCTGTGTTACGATCGTCGCTCACCTGCATCCCAATTTCATACCCTGCCTTGCCCGGCACTTTTCCGGCATCCTTGTTTTGCCATGTCGAACCTGGCTGCGACTGACGCGGTGCGACCTGTAGAGGGCTTTGGTCGTCCCTCACGAGATATCGACATGGAGAAAAATGGCGACCAGGCTTTCAATGCCCACGAGACTGGCAGCGATGGAGAGACCAAGTCTGTCGAATCGGAAACCTTCCAGAACGGTGTGCAGCGGGTGCGCGCAATCACTGAGATTTGGAGCACGAAGACGTTGATTACGATGCTGGTCTTGTATGTTTCAATATCATTCAAATCGCGAGACTCAAAGACTGACCTGTCCGTGTAGCATTTACCTCATCGAATTCGTCGCTTTCCTGCAGAATGGTATTGACGCCGCGCTCAACCCCTTCATCACCTCGGCATTCGGTACACACGGTCTCCTGAACGTCGGAAGCGTAATGGCAACTGCGCTCGGTGGCTGCCTTCCTCTCGTCATTGCCAAGGTCATCGATATATTTGGTCGCGTGGAGGGTTTCTTCTTCATGCTGCTCGTCGTCGTCGCCGGTATGGCTATGAAAGCCGCCTGCACCAACGTACAGACCTACATCGCCGGTCACGTCCTCTACTGGGCTGGTCACATTGGTGTTTTATTCGTTGCCGACATCATGGCCGCGGATTGCACTAGCCTGACGAACCGCATGATCATCTTCACCCTCAACGGAACTCCTCGTATCGCAAGCACTTTTGCCGCACCCGTGATCGCCGACATGTTCTACTACCAGAACAGCTGGCGATGGGCTTTCGGTGCATTCATTATCATCTTCGTCGGTTGCTGCGCTCCCGCGTTGGTGCTCATGATGTTCATGTACCGCAAGGCTAGGAAGGCCGGTCTCGTCAAGAACGTGAAGTCGGATCGTAACTTCCTCCAATCGCTGTGGTACTACGCCATACAGTTTGACAGTAAGCTACACATTCATCTCAAGATTTATCCGTATAGCTACTAACGCGCGACCCAGTCCTTGGCATCGTCCTCATCATGTGCGCGTGGAGTCTCTTTGTTCTGCCCTTCAGTCTCGTCGCCTACGCGCCCCAGGGCTGGAAGACCCCGTACATCATCGCCTGCATCGTGCTCGGACTCTGCCTCTTCCCCTGCTTCTACATCTGGGAAGCCAAGTTTGCGCCCGTCCAATTCCTACCCTGGAAGTACCTCAAGAACGGTACCATCATCGGCTCCTGCCTGCTCTACTGCGTCATGTTCCTGTCCGTCTTCTGCTGGAACGGATACTTCTACTCCTACTTGCTCGTCGTACACAGGCAAAGCATTCCCCACGCTGGATATATTCTCAACGCTTTCTCGCTTACCTCGTCGACATTCAGTCCGCTCATCGCATGGTGGATCCACAAATCCGGTAACTTCAAGTGGACGGCCTACACTGGCGTACCCATCGTTCTCCTCGGTACTGCTCTCCTGATCCCCTTCCGAAACCCTTCCACCAACCCCGGTGTTCTTGCCTTCACTCAAGTGCTCGTCGGTCTCGGTACGGCTTTCTTCGCCACCTGCGCCCAGCTCGCTGTCATGGTCCCCGTCACTCATCAAGAACTTGCGGTTGTCAACGCAGTTTGGGGTCTCTTTGGCAGCTTCGGTTCATCCATCGGATATGCCATCGCCGGTGGCATGTGGAACAACATCCTCCCTGGACAATTACTCATGCGTCTGCCCGAGGAAAGCAAGCCCGAATACAGGGCAATTTTCGGAAACATCACCTTGCAGCAATCGTTCCTCGATGGTACGCCAGAGCGCGATGCCGTTGTCGGTGCCTATGCCGATGTGCAGCGTAAGATGGTCATCACTGGCGCGTGCTTTGTACCGCTGTGCTTGGCTAGCATCTACATTTGGAAGAACATTAACGTTAAGAAGCTCGAGGAGGAGAATGGTAAGCAGACTAAGGGTAACGTCTTCTAAGCGGCACAATGCTTGCTGTGTGATGTGCTCAGCGCAGTCTGCCGCAAGGAGCGTGTTCTTATTGGCAGGCTCATTGCTCTATATACCCACATTGCCATGATGATGTAATATAATACTATCGTTTATATGTCTTCATGCTTCTCACGCACCATGCTCTTCTTCACTGCTCCACACGTGGTCTATTGGAATGAATGAGCGCTAGTCAGCCCATTGAGCTCTGCTTCTGTTACTCCAAAGCATGCTAAGATGGTACTATCAAAGGAAGGTCAAGGTGAAGGTAGGCGCGTGGAAAGCAAGAAGCAATGAGGAAGAAGCAAAGGCAGAATTCCTTTATGCTTTGGTATTAAGTGTACAGCATGCTAACAAACGGGCGTTGCGCAAGATGTATAACTGACTCCTTATGCGCTGAAGCTGCAGCTCCCCCCGATACCAATCAACAACGCCGTGGATGATCCCAATCCATGCAATCAAATCGATCGAATTCCTCAGGATCAAAGTCGTAATCAAAAACATCCTTAGTACCAGGCTGAAAATTCGGATCTTGGCCTTCAAGATACGGTCCACGAGCGTTCCACCAATCGCAAGGTATCTCGCACTTGCATATCGGGGGCCTGTACGACTTGTTAGCAGAGTTCACACCATTGCCCAGTGCGGGTTACTCACAGTCTTTGCCACGGCGTAGCTTGTATCCGTGCGATCGATTCGTGCTTGGAAATTCTTCGTTTGTCAGGAGTACTAAGGGCAAAGTCCCATTCCCATATCATTCGTATCCGTCTCTTGACATGGCCAGAGAACGTGACTCGGGGTATATGTCTGATATCCGCCCACGCGAGGGTGAAGAACCAGTGAACAAAGACCTTTTGACACGAAACCACTTTCGTACCCCTAGCTCCTGCGATGTGAACCCAAGGGTCCAAGGAACTCCAGGTATTGCCAGGGCCAATCCGTTTGGGCGGACGGGTGGTGAAGTGGAGATGCAGATGGAATAAGGTTGATATCTCGCGCAGTTGGGCGATTGCGGGGGTCATCTCGTTGTCCAATTCGACGAAACCCTGATGGCGTTCGCATTTTAGGCCGAGGAAGCGGAAGTAATCCGACGTGGAGAGGTTGAGCTCGATACGACGCATAGCATGGTAGGGGATGAAGACATGAGGGTAAGTGGGACATATGGAAGGGTGATGATATCCGGTCAGCAATACTGTCGTGCGCTCCCATGTGGCTTTTTTGACCTCACAGCAGATTTGCTGACAGGTGAGAGCAAGTAGGTTGGGTTGGATCTGGGATTCGCTTTCGGCAACACTCACTTTCCCGAAGTGATTCATGTCTGTGAAGCGGCGCTTGGGGCGCGACAATCTGACATGCTGGTCCCCGTTAGAGTCGCCCCTGCTCAGCGATAAACATATGTAGGGGCCGATGACTTGATCGTATACGAGGTATCGGAGTTCTTCGGGAAGGTCGAGGAATCGGAAAGCTCGGCCGTTGGACTTCCACCATTCGGCCATTGGTAGAGGCGTGGGCTCGAGCGACTCGAGATCTTCGGCCATCCAAGTGAGAATCGGTATCCAACGGGGCTGTGTATCGATCTCTAACGCGAATTTTTGAGTGAGTATTGAAGGGTCTGCGGACTCAGACTCGTGGCGGACGGCCGTTATCCTGGAAGAGCCCTCCAAAGGGTAGTCTGTAAGGTCATACTTGCTGTATGAGGATATGTCCTGCTCTAATAGGTTCAAACATTTGTTAATATCAGCCGTCTTTCTCCAGAATTCGAAGTCGGTGCGGTGCCGGTGACGGATGTACGCTACCACTGCCTGCTTCAGAGATTCATTCTTCGAATCGTCGGGTTCATCTTCCAGATGTGAAGCGATCCCATAGTGTCGAGTCAACCACTCTTGCAACGTGAGCCACTCGTGTTCTTTATTGGTCTGTGGGTGCGGTGTTTGCTCCGCGAGCAGTGAGGACTTCATCGACTGGCTACGTACACCGAGGAGTACATCCTCTACCCCAGGTTGGATGAGCCGTATGGGGGTTGATGATCTCGAAGTGGTTGAGCGCTCGACTCGTAGTCCTACTGAGTTCAACTTGAACCTCAAACTCTTTTGTTGCTGATCCTTGATGTACGACTCAATCTCGGTGATAGTGTCGGCCTGGTTTCGCCGTCAGCATATCTACTTCTGCGTAAGGTTAAAGACTCGCGTACGATTAGGGTGCGCAATATTTTTCGTTCCTTCATTGCAGCGATCTGCGCGGGCCTGGATTGGGGCCGACATTTAGGAGCCATTGCGGCTTTGTTCGTTGGATTGTACGGGTATAGGCGTACTTTTCGAAAAGCTGGTACCGAAAGTAAGGTAGGTGGGGGCCGTGCTCCGCAGATGAGTGTACCAAGGGTGTCAGTAAAGTGTTAGTTTTGCATTGCCAACTAAGTAAAGACAGAGATGGGCCAGTGCGACTGTGCACGGGGTACCCAGGCAGATGAAAGTTCGTGATCGAATATTATTGCGGCGTGCTTGAGACCAAATGCGCCAGTATTTCATTGCGTGGTTGTTTGGGTATCGAAAACGCGGTAGCGCAAACGAGGCGGGACTGAGTGCCCAAACCTCAGTGTCGTTCAATTTGCTGCTTCTTGGTTGATAGCAAGCGGCCTCGAGATTCCCGAGGAAATACCATTAATTTACTCTTCAGTCTTCAGTCTTCAGGCTCGGTCTCGCTATCAGGCGCAGGAGAGAGCGACGAACCCGAGCCAAAAGACAGCAGTGCGGATTCCTTCACTCTCGTCGACTGCCAAGTTTTACCGTGAGCCATCTCCAATACCTCAAGCAATCCCAAAAGCCTGTCCGAACTTTCCTGCAGCAGCTTTTTTGCTTGCTCTTCTTCCTCGGCGTTACCTCTCTTGCCTTTACCAGTGCCATATACACTACGTCGCGCTTGAATACCAGCCTCCATAGCTTTGCGAAGAGCCTGGTTAGGGGCGAGAGCATTGTTCTTCATCATGTGCATGAACAACTGTTCCAGTATGAGTGAGATCTTGGTGTTTGCTGCAAAGCTTTGCGTTGTTCCTTTCAGTGGAAGAAGAGTCTTTTCGAAATCCTGTTGAATAGGGTCTCGGAGAAAGAAGCTCGGTGGCTTGCTGGCTATCATACCATGTAGAAGGTTCGCGGTGAAGGCGACTCGAATGTCGTCGGGTAGCTTCATCGTAGACAAAAGCGCCTGAAAGGTCATGGTCGGGACCTGACTGAACTCTTCCAAGATGTTGTCGCAGAGGTCATATATCCGGGTGAAGAGTTCCGGTAGCTCTGAGGCCACTTCGGCGAGCTGTTTGTTGTTAGTTGTCGTCGACTCCGACCAAAAAGGTACCTACGAGTGTTGTGAGACGCTGCCGCAGCTCGATCGCGTCCTGTCCGCCAAGGCGCTCTATGGCGTCGTGTACGTTCTTAATCCCTTTATCGCTGGTCTCCGAAGACGTGTCGTCGCCACTCTCATCCCCGCCGTCGTCCGATGCGTCCTGCATATCTTCGTCGCTACCATAATCCGCCAACTCCCCAGTCTCGAAGTCAACCTCACCCACTGGCTGGTCTTCATTTCTTTTACGTCTCGGCTCTGCTGTCTCCCTCTCCCAGACTTCCGGGTAGTCTTTGAGCGAGTCGGGTGTCGCCGTTGCGAGTACAGCTCTGATGATCCGGCGCCTCTTTGCGCGATTCATTGCTGTCTCGTCGCCGGTTATGTAGTGCCAGAGGAGACTCTGCTGGAGGGTTGTCTCGTCGCTCGCTCCCTCTTGGTTGCTTTGCTTGACGCAGACATCCCAATCGGCTTCGAGGAAGTCGAGCATGACCCTCAGCCACAGTTTCCACCGACTCCACCGTTTCTTGTGCTTTATCGCGCAGTTGAACGCCCACCCCACCGCATGCCAGAAGTCGTCTGCGCGATACCAGAGGCTCTTCTCGTTGGCAGCCTCGCCAGCTATTCGCTTGATGTCGCTGCTCAGCTGGGGTGATAAGCTTGCACTGGCCCTGTAGCTAGGCGCGCTCCTCCTGTTGCGTTCTCGTGGGAACATGAACGCTTTCCTGATAGTCGGGTATGCGGGGTCGTCTATCGTCGTGTGCACGCATTGCAGGTATCGCAGCGCGGCATTGGAGCCTTTGGCGGCGTCTCGCGATTGCGCTTTGGTGGTGAATCTGGGGTCGGCGACCATGGAGGAGGCGAATGCGATGTATGCCGGCGGTGCGAGAAAGCCTATGTATGGCTGCGCGGGTCTCGATATGCTCGTGCCCGCAGCGAGGAGGCTGTAGAGGAAGTCATAGCCGCTGGCGTCTGGAGTCAGTGTAAGCTTGGTATCGTGTGGCTAGTGGTGTCGCATACATTGGCCGCCCTCGAGGTAGGCTTTGGCATGGTTGGTGAGCTCGTAAGACGCTTGCTTGGTAGGCCGGCGTTGCTTGTGCCGTGGTCGTGCGCTCACAGCTTCGAGTGCAGCGGATCGCGCATGTCCATTGGTATGCGCGGAAGGGTTCGGCGTCTTGGAGCCAGAAGCTGGTGTTGCGAGTTTTGCCATGAACGCGATAGTATGTGCTGAGTTGCTAGTGTGGGGGAGTTGCTGCAAGGTCAGACGCGCCCGCGTCGAAGCGCGCTTTCACGTGGCAGGCGATAGCATCATTACACGGCCTCAGCGTCCGTCTCAAGCTGCCTTACAACGAATGTGAACTTCGAAAAAAAGAGCTGCAGGTCGCTCACAGCATACGCATGTGACTAGCTTGGATTTTGGACTGCGGGCAAAAAGAAGATGTTGGCAAAAAGAAGGTCTTCTTTTCCGATACCGAATCACCTGGGCAGCTGGCATCAGCGTCTATCTTGAGCTGCGGAAGGCGGAGATTCAAGCTTTACAACACATCTTAACAGAATACTACATGGAACGGAACATAGCCAGCGTCAGTCTATGAGGTGGGCGATAAGAGAAGGACCAAAAGAAAGGCAAAAAGATGATTTTCTTCCGGTACCGGGAATCGAACCCGGCTCTCGTCGGAAGCTGACACAATTGACTCATGAAAGCGACGGATGCTAGCCGATACACCATACCGGACTTTGATGGAATGTCATGAAAATTTATCATTTATATTGTCACAACAGATCAGCAGAGGGGTCATGAGGAACCAACTCCAACCGGGCTATGTGCCCACTCACAGACAGTTTTACCTTGGCATGCGCTAGATGCACTAGCAAGCTAATGTCCTAGTGTCTTAGAGGTAGGTCCACAAACACCGTCGCCGGCTGGCATACAATCATTCATTATGCCACAAGAGACAGTTAGATCAGACAGTCCTTTAGGTGGAGTTCCGTACATGGCACACAGTACGAGCAACATGTTGCGCAGCCTTCTTTCGGCTGACTCTAACGGTTGTCGGTTGAAGTGGCGTTCGCCGGAGGCTCGGTGCCCGCAGGTTTCGTCGGAGGGCTTAGCAAACTTCAGCGTTCCGCCCGCGATTAGAACCCAGCATCACCATCAGATGTCGCAATTATTCGTTGCGGGGTCGCGCACCACAACGCATCCAACAGTCTGCAACGGATCATTGCGGCACCTGGTGTCACCCCACTTCAACGAAGAATAGCACGCGTTCTCAGGTACCATAGGTCGATAATCTGCCCACACCAGGGGTCGGAGTAACTCATGTCGCATTGTGTGAGAAAATTTTTAAGGGTAGAAGTATACATTGCCTTAGAAACTATGCATTTGCTAATGTTCAATAGTATGTATACTGCGAACGGCAAACTCCGACACCAATTCGAGCCACCCGTGTCGTCCATACCTGTGTTCTCGCAATGTATCGTGCCGCAACATGAAATCCAGCGTCTGACCGTCGTTGGGAGTCTTTGTCGTGAAAGTTGGATAGTGTAGCTGCAAATGCAACATGGAGGTTGCGCAGCCTGATGGTGAGACGATATGGGATTCTAGCATGCCGCTTCGCCTCGCCTCTTCCTTCTTGAATGCTTGGAACAGCTCGGGCATATCGAAGCTATCCTGTCCGTACTCCAGGTCGTACACAGATTCTTCTAGGAACTCACGCGCCCCGTATGTCATCACGGCCAGAGCTTGCAGCACTTCTGCCCGTACTGCAGCGAGCCTGGCTTCCGAAGGAGAGTTCATGCATGCTGCGTTCTCAGAATCCATGTGCGTCGCCCATGCAGCTACTTCCTCTGAAGTCATGTCGTTGGTGTCGAGATAGTCACCGTCGTCGAGCAAAATCGCGCCATGCTCTCCACCAGCCCAAGTGTCCTTGACGTTATCTGTCCGGGTTACATCTTGCACCAGCATGACGCGGTCATCCTCGTCTACCCATACGTCCAACTGCTGGGTCGTGCTCGCGTCGTTGATGATGGCTGCTGCCTCGTTGGTGACATGTGTCTGACTGGTTGTTGCCTCCTTCCTGACGGTGATACCCTTGGGCAACGGGATTCTGGATTCTTGGCTCAAGTCGAACGCTGACTCGCTGATCGTGCTCGGGTCGCTCGTGGCGGCTGCTCCCTCATTGGCCATTGTGTTCTCACTGGCGGCTGCCTGCTTGCCGACGGCTGCATCCTAAAGTGGCAGAATCTTGGAGGCTCGACCCCAGGCGAAGGCTGCTTGCTTCGTCGGCCTAGTGTCCTTAGCTTTCGGTGCCCGCTTCCTACTGATAGTTAGCGGTTATCGGTAACGATCATAGGAAAGCGCATCTCACCTTTTCGGCTGTGGATCTTCTGCCAGCCGTACACCTCGTCCACTGAAAGACAGTGTGGCCTGTCTCTTTTGGTCGCTGGCGGTCGACATACCTCGGCGATCGAATCGAGACTTACCCGTGGACTGTAGGACGAAGATGCGAAGGACGAAGCTTGAGCACGACCGCACTTACCGTTATGCTGTTGATGTGACGCTATCTCTCTAGCAAGCAGGCGCGTTGGGGGCGTATCCTGTTGGAGCAGGACGCGGCTTCCCTTACTTGGGCGGGCACAGAATCTAGCAGGCGCGCGCTCTATTCTTGTTGGACAGCCTACCTGCTCTCTTATGATCCTTCTGTAGTGAGTTCGAACGACACGCTAAGTCGCGAAACTCATAGCAGTGTTGCGTCTAGCAGCAGAAGACTGGCATGTGGCCGCTCCCGAGCTACAGAAGTGAATGATGCGGTCGGCATTGGGTAGGGCTACGTGAGCCCGGGAGCTTGCACGTGTGTACGTGTAATAGCTGTTTCTTTCGGCCATATCTAGAGCGTAGTCTGGCACTTTGAGGGCGTTGAGGTTTGTGGAGACCTGGGGACAACAAGAGAAGCTGTCACGACGCCAGGGTGCACATACTACCTAGGCCTTAGCGCGACCTACATTTGTATGAGCGTTGGGTACATTAACTCAATTACCAACTTCCCTACATTATCTACACACCGACAGTGTATTTCGCTGTTTTTTCCTTGCACGTTGATTAGAGTCACGAACACTCTGGACACTACATAGGGTACGACTTCTCTACCTCTCGATCGGCCGAACTGAACTACATCATCACTGCTTTCGAAAACGGCGAAATGAGCGGTAACGTCGCTGGAAATTCTGGGGCAGGTCGCCCGCGCAAAGAGGTTCGTACACCCGCTCAAGAAGCGAATGCTGCACGATATCAACATTAACGTTGGGCTAACACCGAACGCAGCTAACTATATCGGAGCTTGTGGAGACTGCGAGCAAGTCCAGCGACACAACTACCGATACAATTCAAGAGATTAATCGGAAACTCTAGATTGTGAAAGGAGCCCTCGAGCGATTACAGAGCACTGTACTGAGCGCACGAGACCTGGCTTCGGACGCAAATGAGCAGCTGGCAGTATTGCTGGCTTCGAAAGAAGAAGCTGACCGAGTCAAGTGTGGACAGGAGATGGCTGACCTACTGTCTTGCTGCATCGATGATGGGCTTGAGGCCTTCAAGACGTTGAGGCTCCTGGAGAAGGAACTGGGTAACCGCCGTGGTCGGTAGGTCTGCTAAAAGGCATCTGACCTGGGACATCACTGATTACGCTGTGCGGCTTTGGATCATGGACTTTTCTGTGAATTTGAAAGCGCCAGGAGTATCAGTCCGTAGATAATGATGAATATCAAATTCTCCTTCTGACTTATTCGACTGAATGCATCGATATGTGATCAGCACGACGACCCCATTGTAGTCCCCTTCTTCAAATATATCATTCATTATCATCTGCTTCGCTGGCACTGTTTGTCTCTGGGAAGCGCTGACGTCCGTAGGGATGGGAACAAATCCAGGCACATCTTTGAACTTCTCGTTCAGCTCCTTTACCAAGCTCCTGATCGTGACTTCCGGGTTCGCAGGGTCAATCGGTGGGCACAGAACGTCGAACGCAGCTTCGACTTGTGCCTGGATCGTCTGGAGCATGTCAAGCCGCGCGCTGAACCACTTCTGCAACGTCTGAGTCAGTATCTGTTCTCCAACAACATACCTAGATATGCAGTTTTTTTCCTTCTTACGTCGAACAAGATCTTGAGCTCCTGGACCAACAGGCTGTCGTTGCCCGGCATAGCCCGTCTCACTTCGAACAATGCAGCGACTCCTTTAGCGACTTCTTTTCCAAGCCGCGCAACATTTTCCTCTTTGATCTCTAGGTTCGAGCGTGGATTTGCGGCTTGTTGGTCGATCGAAAGTGACACCACATGGTCTGCGACCGATTTCTGCGCTTCATCGTTGTTCGCCATCTCTGGAATTTGTGACTTGGGGGATTCGCTCGGTGGTAGGTCTGGTAGGATGTTCGGATGGGCGGAGGGAAGTGAACGGGCGTTGGGAGTGTAGTATCGGATATATGAGTAGGTAAAGGTGAGCTTTCAATTCGCCTGTAAAGGATCTGAAAGCGTGGCTCTAAAAGAATGCGAAGGCGCGTGTTGCAGAGTTGATGTAGACGCAGCAGCCTTGGCACTGAGTTGGTCACGGGATTGCAGGTAAAGGCAGGCTCCTGGGTCCAATGTGCTACCACGTGGCTAGCGTACCATTGTAAGGCTCAGTTAGACAGCCATAGTTGGGTCTGAAGACCTTAACCTAACCATCTCTCACTATCGAATCAAGGTAGCCCTGTCCAGGTGACACCTGTCGCGATTGGAACTTCCCGAGGCCAGCAACGGACAGCCCGATAATACACCGACAACGATACGAAGATGACAAAGCAACAAGAAACAGCAGAAGCAGCGCCCGCAAGGCCGACCTTTGTTCGAAGCGAGGGTGAACATCAGTCAACGCACGACGCAACGGTATTCTTTGTAGAGAAGGACGATACGAGCTACATGTTTCTCGGCTGGACAAGGGATACAGATGATTCCGAACGTCCGAAAGTCTACTACCGCTGCTACGGCAAGAAGGACAACTCAACAACATCCCGTCACTGCTCTTGGGATGTAGAAAACAAGAAATTCCTCGAAACTGCATTCACCCAAGTAGATGCTTGGGACGAGCATGTCGAACTCCCGGAAACCCTCAAATGCTTCCTTGAGAAGAAGTACGCCCGAAGGTTTCCCGACAATGCGCTCAAGCTCAAGCTCGAACGACCAACAGAGCTGAGCAAGCGCAAGTCCCACACGACTAGGAATTTGGAAGATTGCGACGCAGCTGATGAGGTGGACGCGAAGCGGCAAAGAACCAAGGAACCGAGTTCAGTCTCGCAGACGCCCGACAACAACGAACCTACAATCGAACGTTCGCCGCCGTCACTGTCGCTGAACGACACTCTCGAGCGTACGACCGAAGCTCGCCGACAGTCAAACGAACAGTGCGGCAAGCGACAGGATTGCCTCGATGAACGGAAGGCAGAGGTCGAACAAGAGCTGGCGTGGCTCGAACAAAGTTCGGAGGAGCTCGATCGAAAGGCGAAGCAGGCCGGACAGAAGGGGGAAGCCGACACTGACTACTGTCCTTGCCGCGTCTCACGTATGCCAGAAATACTCCGGCGACTTCGGGAACTGCAGCTTCCTGTGGGAGACGAAGAGCGTAGGGCGGTCGAGCCCCGTGCAAGGAGATTGAGCGAACTATCAGAAGCGCAAGCAAGAGATGTTAGGGCCATGAGACACTTTATTGAACGCCAACGACGGCTACTCTGTCCCACCGATGCTTCATCATGAGTGGATACGAACGGTCGATAGCGGAGGACGAAAAGTTTCCCGGCGAGCTTTTGATTTTTTGAACATCCATGGAGTTAGCCAAAAGTTATTTGATTAGTGTCTTGTTCTGCTTTACAGATACCGAGTTCTTGGAATCAACTACCAATTCTATACATGATCATACTTCAGATTGCGAAAACTGTCTGCCATTCATGACAAAGTGTCGTTCGCGAGGTGACTACAGACTATGCTGTCCTCTCGTCTACACTCTAAAACCAGCGCCAGCTGTATACAACGGGTTGTTATGAGTACGTCCAACAAGGCGGCGACCGTTAATTACCTCCCAGGTGCCGTTTTGTTGCCCTTTTAGTGGACTATTGCGGCGTTGTCGACGGCACTTCGGGTAGAATCACGAACGCTAGCTGCTAGGTCTCTGAGACAATGTCTACGCACCTCACATAAGTCTCGGAGCAACTTATTTCGGTGTCTAAGTCAAAGCGAAACCCTTGTTCCCAACTCTAGACAATATGTTGGGGCAACGCACACAGCCCTCCCTCTATAAATTGGCAACTAGCTTGTCAGAAATGAAGCAATCAACGACACATCAATCAGCGCCCAAGACGAACGACTGCTTTTCAACGCAGCCCAGTCCTCCAACACACCTGCACCAATGTCTCAACCAACCGCACTGCCTATAAGACCAAAGACCACATCAAAAGCCCTCCCACCATCAACCCTCCCCACCCTCCGCCAACACTTCCCCTCCCTCCCACCATGGGCCGTCTCCGCCTTCTCCGAGATCTACAACGCAGTCCACATCTTCAAGAACCCCCAACTCGCCGCAATAATCCCACAACGCCAACTCTCACCCGAAGCCCGCGCGTTGCTCAACATCGCCATCCTGCCCATGCCGGGCTACAAATACGGCCACGACAAAGGGCCGATGCTGGATTGTAGTGTAAGTATACGAGAGCTGTTCGATGATGAGAAGAGCTATGAGTATGGGAGGGAGCAGGTTGTGTTGGTGAGGTTGGGAAAGGAGTGTGAGAAGTTGTGGACGGGGAGATGGGATGAGGGTGGGATGGAGGGATGGACGGGGGATGTTGTCTTGGATCGATAGTTTGGGATGGTGTCTCGGGTAGCATTCGTCGCTTTCATGATTGATGCGGTCTTGCGTTGTTTCGACATGGTCTTGCGGTTGACGGTGATGCAATAAATGATATGCACATGTATTGCTTGCCGCTGTTTCACTGTCGAGTGCACGTTCTTTTGAGATCGTGCGAAAGTTACTGCGATACCAGCAAAGTCAAGTCATACGGTGGTCATTTGTAGAGCTAAGCGCCAGATTCGCGTCTTTCATATATCCAAGCTTGATCTGATAAGATCAGTGTATACAAGTGACTAATTACTCACGCGACGAGCAGTGTTGGCAGGAGCTACCCCTCATGCATCCCTGTCGCTTCCCGAAGTCATCCCTCTTCCGGACAAGCCTGGGCGCAAGAACTCCACGTCCATGAACACTTGGTGCTGAGCTCCTCAGGTAAATAACAGTGGGAGGTGTCGACCGCGATAATTTCAGTAATACAACTGCCGCAATGGCCGCGTCACAGCAAAGCCTAGACCACCTAATCCTCTTCGTCCCCGCCAACCCAACAACGCAACTGCCCGAAGTCCCTCCATTCTTCTCGGACAACTTCACACTCACCCCAGGAGGCTTCCACGCTGACGGCGCGACATCGAATATCTTGATTCTCCTCACAGATGGGTGCTACATCGAACTCATCTCCTTTGTCAACCCCTCCCTCGCACCTGAGCATTGGTGGGGCCCCGACGCCAACTTCGTAGGCTGGAAGGACTGGTGCCTGACCAACTCGCTTTCGCCCGAGAAGAACTACGAGGCGGTGATAGAAAGTCACTCAAAACTGATCAAGGGTGGGAGAAAGAGGGCTGATGGAGTCGATGTAGCTTGGGCTGTCACCTTCCCCAAGGGAGAGAAAGGTGGACAAAGTGTTAGGGGCAGGGTGCCATTCTTCTGTCACGATATTACTCCTCGGGGTGTCCGCGTTCCAATCGACGATTCGAAAACGACTCATCCGTGCGGCGCGATTGGGGTCAGCCGACTTACTATCATCGTGCGCGACCAGGCCCTGCTAGATGAGACTAGAAAAACCTACGACGCCGTCATCGGTAGTGCTGGTGAAAAGGTTGATGGAGGATTTGAATTCAAGCTCAGGCGCGTGCATGAAGTGGAGACTCGTGACACCGGTGCAAAGATCATACTGCGCTTGCCAAAGAACGAGGAGGAGCAGGAACGCGTTAAAGATAGGGGATTCTGGTATGGCGACGTAGTCCTGGTAACAGACGCGAAGGCCGGAAAGTTTGGAGGCTCCGCGGAGAGGCTGGATAGTGGAGAAAGAGGTGGCGGGGTTGGCGGGGTGTGGCTCGAGCATGCCTGAGCGGACGGCGGTGGATATAAGAGTGGATTATCAAGGGATCAGTGGGACCGAGATTGAGGCTGAACTATAATCAGTCGTGTTTCGTATTTCTTGCTTGCGAAAGTACATGTGCTGGATGGCCTTCGGAACACGACCCTTGGTCTGGGGTGGCGACCTGTGCTATAGCAAGGGATGCACCTGCAGGCCGGCGAAATGAAACCATACTTGCACACACCCGTGGTACTACTGTGCTACGTTGGCACAAAGCGCAGATCGAAGTGGTTATATCGCGCAGAAGCGCCATGGGCTTGTTCCTAGCCATGCAAGACTATATTCGCATTCGCAGTCGAGAGGATTTATGGATGTGTAAAGCTAAAGGTTGCATGTGCCTTAGCGGCGCTAGGCCACAACCGGGCAACCGAGGGACAACCCAAATTTGGCAGCTGCGATGATTGGCGGGTGCTGTCCGGTGGTTTGAGATGACTTGATCCACAAAAGATCGGGTTTTATCCTTAGGTAGAAGATGGTGATGCGCGTGTTTGTTTAAGACATGGCTTACTAACAAGGTGCAGTCTAGGAGATACAACATATGCTGTCCGGTCACGATAAGGTTATACAGCATAGTGCATGACTCGGGTCGTTTGTCGGAGTAGAAATGGACGAGACGAGGAGGACGAGGAGGAGGACGATCTGGAGGCGTTGATACGGCAAAAGAAAACACACCAGCGCCCCAATCTTGGGTTCCTCGCTTGCAGGGTGCGAGATGTTTAGAGCGAGAGCAGTAATTCTTCTCGGCGGAACTCGAATCGAAATTTTGAGGTTGGCGGGGCTAGCTCGGACCACTGATAGCGGGCACGTGTCCCAAGGTTTGCTTTTGTGCTAAGGTGACAAAGTGAAGTGCCGGCAGGATCGCATTCGAGGCAAATTCCATGTCGACCTGTCTGGTCGCGCATGGGAAATTGACGTGATGCAGTGTGCGAGTGGGCAGCGACGGCGGGATGCCGCTGAACGGCGGAGGGGACGACCGGCAGAGGGGCCCGAGGGCTAGCGCCTGCGGATCTGGACCGACGTCTGCCCAGCTGGAGTCAACGTCGACGCCGTCAGTCCCTCTGCCCGCGCCCGTGGTCGAGGTATTCACTATACGGGGCGTGGCGGAACCTTCGTCTCGACACTCGCCCCGTGGCGCGCCCCTGCAATGGCGGCGCACGCAGCAGAACCAGGGCAAATGCGCGGGCACGATGAGTATTGGCCCTGCGGACTTGTGCACCGAAGCCAATCACTAGGAAGGCGCTCCCGCCAAGGCGCAGCGTTCATCCCCAATCTTTGATTCCCATGACGCAGGCGGTTATTTTCATAAACACGATGCGAGATGCGCTGAGATGATTCTTGTTTCCTTACCACGCAGCGTGAGTTTTCGCGAGCGGCCCGATGCAAGACGACAGGCGACCTGGACCCCCTCCGGCTGGTCACCCCTCGGCCGGTCCCTACGGGTCGCAGTTCAAGGTCGCCATTCCACGCTTACCACCCCGACGCGCCCCGCCACCCACCACGCCCAAGTCGCGCCAGAGGGACAGAGTCCAGCGGGCATGTCGCAACTGTCACAAGCGGAGTGCGTTGCCATTGTCTTTTCCAACATCATTCACTGTCTCACGACTATCTAACACACGCTAGAGATCAAGTGTAGCGGCGGCCTCCCCCGCTGCAACTACTGCGACAAGACCGACAAGACATGTGTATACGAGCGCCCCAGGAAAGACCGTCTGGCGACGTCAGTTGAACGACCTGATTCCAAGTTCTGAAATTGACTCCACCAGTGCCAAAGACCGCAACCATGCCCTCGTCTCCGTCCTCAAAGACCTCAGCTTGCGCGTCAGCGACGATGACCGACGTCGAATTGAAGATGCCCTTCAGGATGTGAGTACAGGACCTGCCAGCCCGGATGCCACTGCTCAAACTAATACCACCAAGTCAGATGACGAGGTCGGGTCGCCCGTCTCCATATCCTCTTCTTCGCGAGCATCCGCCCCTCAGCCATTCTCTCAGCACTCGCGCATGCACCCCTTTGCCCCATCCTCTAGCTATGTGCCGCTCGGAGCAGAAACCTCGCCTACGTCGGATCAGTCGCCTCTTCCCCGCATGGACGGTATTGTCCCGGAAGACTCTGGTGACGAAGACGGTGGCGAACTGCCCAGTGTAGTCGAAGCAGGCTTCTTGGGCCAGATCTCCGAAGTACAGTGGCTACAGACGCTCAGGAGCAGAGTACAAGCGCTCGATACCGTTCTGCTTGGCCCACCTGACACCACTGCGCCACTCTCTCAGCCACCCTCGCCTACTTTCACTGCCTCACCCACCTCCCTTGCCGCAACCCCGCTCGAACAGATCGCGCTCACCAACTACTATCTCGACGAAGAAGGTATAAAACTCACAGACTGTGGGAATCCCTTTGAGCTGCCACCCGAGCATACTGCAGCACTGCTATTCCAGTGCTTCACCCAGACCATCCAAAGCTCCTTTCCCATCCTCCCCCCAACTATTGAGCACCAGCTGCTCCAATACTATACCTTGGTTCGGAACGGGCAGGCTATACATTGCCCGGAGAAATGGTTTGCGCTAGTCAACCTCGTCTTTGCCATAGGCGCCAAGTTTTCACATCTCGTCCAGGCCGACTGGAGAGCTGATGAACTGGATCACATCGTCTACTTGTGCCGTGCCTTTCAATTGCTTAGTATGAATGACACAATCGTTGTCCTAACGACTCCGGATCTGCTCACAACGCAGGCAAGTCTGAGCCGCGGATTCTGTTTGACTATGCTAAACATTTTAGGCTGCTGGACTCTTTGCGATTTACTACATGACTGCTGGCCATTTGAATCGGTAAGTATGCGCAATATCTTTGCTCGTGACTACCTAGTCTATCCTTTCTTCGTCCCTTGCTTCCAATCGATGTGCTTGCATGCTGATACTGTATCAGGGCTTGGGTAATGGTAGGCATGGCGATGCGATCGGCTTTCTCGCTCGGCCTTCACGTGCAACAAGATGATCAATCTGTCTCTGCCGCCCGAAGGCAGAGTATGGTTTGCACCTGGTGGAGTTTACATGCCCTGGAGAGCATGCTCAGTTCGATTACCGGTCGACCGAGCATTATACCCAACGAAGACATCACAACTCCACTGCCCAGTGCCGTGAATAGCGATCAGACCCAAAGCGTACCTGTGCCCAGTCTCGACTTTCTCGATGCCGATATCCACCTGAATCTCCTGACCCAGCAAATCATCTCCAACCTCTACACACAGCGTAGATCTGCGCCATCATGGGACTACCTCCAACAAATGACTATATCTCTATGCGAACACCTTGACAAGTGGGCATTTGAATACATTCCCCAAGTTCAGTCAGAAGAACGGAACTCAGCTCGCATGCAACAACGCGACGTCTTCTTGCTCAAACTTCAGTACTACCGACTGAAGGTTCTGACGACTCGTCCCTCACTGCGCCGTATTGAACGCTGTTTCCAAGCCGGAACCGATGACTTCAATTCGCTCGATCAGTCTGTGGCAGAGTCGTGCGTACAAGCGGCACGAGATGTGGCATCGCTGTTGGCAAACGAGCCTAATGTCAGGAGTCTATATGAAAAAGGGCCTTGGTGGACAATTGTCCACAACAGTATGTTAAAACCTCAAATTCCCGTCTCAACTACTGACACATCACTACAGTCATGCAAGCTCTCGCCGTCCTCATGATAGCCATATCCTGTCCCGATCACTTCCGCGACACACACCAAGCGTCTGTGCACAGCACACGGCAACTCGTCACCTCACTCCGCAGCATGTGCGACACAAACATGCTGGCTTCCCGCGCCTACCAGGTCGTATATTCGATAGTCAAGACGTCAAAACCGTACGTCTGGGCCGACATAGCAGATGCCTTCCCGGATGAGGTCATCATGGTGCTGCAACAGCCAGCACCAGCAAAGGTGGATCCACAGTATCTGCCATGGCCGGACAACGACCAACCATCCGAAGCTCTTTTCCGCTACGAGATGGATAATTTCGGCAACTACCATTTCCACATGTTATGAGGACGGGGGATTACCTTTCGCGACAAATCACTGCAGCACCGACTGCACACAAAATGATGCGATTGGTGGTGGACCCGGGAGACTATTCTTACCCTTGCGGCATCGGTATCCGATTTGACGCTAGCGGCCGCTGTATCGTACCTTAACGGGATCCCCACCTCGTCATCAACGGGGCCAAAAGTTGGAAACAGGACAAGCTCGCATTCTGGATCACTGCCGGCTAAAAACGGGGCAACTGGACGAACAGAATCGGATCAAACGGCCACGTTGTAACTCTCTGCCGGTTGAACCCCAACACTCTTCGCTACCGCAACATGACTTACGCGTGTTATACCCAAATACTATTTCGAACAGCGATGCTAGATGAAGGAAAGATGTTGTATGATAGCACCAGCATTCGCTTGCGCGTGCCACATTATCGACTCGCGTCGTGACGACGACTTTGCAGGACTAGGAAGAGGTGAACTACCCAAGTACATAGTATGTCGTTCACGGAACAGTAATAGCAGGATAGTAATAAAAAGCAGTATTGGTTCATGACCAATGCATCTCCTCTGATGCAACAACGGGGAATTTTCACATGGAGGCATACTGACAATGTTCACGTGACAGTTGTTTCATGCTGTAGGGATGCACTAGCAGGAGACTTCCTAGGTAAACCCCTATAGTCTAGCCCCATTGCATTACTTCAGTCTTGCTAAAATCCAACAGGGCAAATCCAGCACAGAATCTCAAGATAGTCTGGCAGGTCTCAAGCCAGCTCCTCCCGCGGCATCTCCCATCTTCTCAGTATCAATCTCTCCAATGACGCTCTTCAGCAACTCGGGCACAATCTGCGCCGCATCGCCTTGGAAGAACCAGTCCCCATCGTACAATCCTCCCGCGGGAACATCATTGGCGTCCATGTTGATAATGGCAACCCTCGCCCCCTTGCTGCGCGCAAGATCCACATAACCGGCAGCAGGATATACCTTCGCACTCGTCCCAATGACCATGATGAGATCGATATCCTCTTCGTCCTCGATAAACGCGTCGACGTCCTCCATAACCTTCTTAGGCAGTATTTCGCCAAACCAGACTACACCCGGACGTAGCAGGCCGTTCTTGCATTCAGGGCAGTGGGGGAGGTGCTTGTAGTCGAGTTCTGGGATCTCGACATTGATATCTGAGATGTCTAGTTCGCGGGCGGCAAGGGCAGCGTTTGTGGTTGGGTCGGATTCGTCGGTGGGGATGGCGAGAGCGGGCACGATGGGGTCGGTGTAGTTGTTCCGCTCTGAGTAGTTGCAGAAGAAATCTGAGCACTTGAGGTCGAAGAGAGAGCCGTGTAGGAGTTTGAGTTGGTCGGCGGGGTGTTGGGCGCGCGGTGATAGGCCTGGGAGTGGTGGTGTTAGCTATGCGACTGCTAGGGGTCTGAGGCGTAGGCTTACCATCAACGTTCTGGCTCAGCGTGATAAATTGCTCCTTCTTCTTCGCCAATTCGGCAAGGGCGTAGTGGGCGGGGTTGGGCTTGGCTTTGAGTGCCATGTGCCGTCGGTAGCTGTAGAATTGCCACACGAGTCCTGGATCGCGCTCAAAGGCCTGGGGAGTTGCTAGTGATGTCGCGTCATGCGTCCTCCACATGCCTCCCGCACCTCGAAAAGTCGGTAGTCCAGAAGATGCTGATAGGCCCGCACCGAGGAGCGCGAGGATACGCGTCGACTTGCTCAAGTGTTGCTGGAAGCTCTCGAGGTCCTTGGGCGGAACGACGCTGGAATGGGTGGCCGACGAGGCCATTCTGCGGATGATGTTGGGCAGCGTCACGGTGGAGGTGATCTTCTTCGCAGACTGGGCGTGCGAAGAGGAGGAAGATAAGAGGCCGGGCGTGTCATGTGTGCGTTCTCTGTCCGACAGGCAGAAACGGGGGCCTGGAGGTGTTTGCGGGGAGGGGGGGAAGCTGCGGCGGTAGTGGCACCTGCAAGGTACGTCAGGCTCCCCCACCAGCGGCCTAGCGCCCACCAGGCCGGGAAACCGATGCCTCTTCCGCCGGAGCTTGATTCGCCCGAGCCAACCTCCGCCAACGACCATGACTTTTGCGACAAGATGGCTGCGACCGGCTGCACGCGTGCCATACCGGTGCGATGCTGCGAAACGCGTCGGGCGGGTGCAGCCCAGAGTCGGCGGCACGAGGGCGTATGCGGCCGCTGCTGTGCCCGCCGCTGAACTCCGGTTTGGCCAACCGCTCCATGAGACGCATCCACACCTACTCAAGGCTGGGGAAGGTGATGACCGCCCGAGCAACGTCTTACCCTCTACTAACATGCTGTAGTCACCCCCGGTATCACGGCACTCGAGTACCACCAACGCCGCGCCGCCCTCGCCAAAGAACTGCCCCCAAACTCGACCGCCATCCTCGCTGCCAACGACCTGAAATATGCGTCCGGCGCCGTCTTCTACAAGTTCCACCAGGACCCAGATTTCCTGTACCTGACAGGGTTCAGAGAGCAGGATGCCGTGGCCGTAATAGAGAAACACGGAGATGGAGAGCACACATTCCACCTATACGTCCGGCCCAAGGACCCCAAGGTGGAAGCCTGGGAGGGCCCACGATCAGGCGTTGAGGCCGCGGAAGACGTCTTCAACGCCGACGTGAGCGGCAGCATCGAAGATCTACCGCGGCTGCTTCCCGAGATAGTCAACCGCGCGCAAGCCATATACACCGACCTCCCCCAATCCCGCGTATCCAAAAACCTGCTCTCACGCTACCTCGCTGGCGCCGAGCCCTCACGTACAGGCGGCATATTCAACGTCTTCCGCGACGCATCCGCAAGCGTACGACCTCTTCGCCCGCTCGTCAACGAACTTCGCCTTATCAAATCCGAAGCCGAAATCACAAACATGCGCCGCGCAGGCCAGCATTCCGGCCGCGCCATCACAGACGCAATGCGGCAATCGTTCACTACGGAAAAAGACCTCGACTCTTTCCTCGACTACTGGTTCAAGCAAGATAACTGCGACGGCCCAGCATACGTCCCCGTCGTAGCCGGCGGCATCAACGCAAACACCATCCACTACGTCTCCAACGACATGCTGCTCAACCCCAAAGAACTCGTCCTCGTCGACGCGGGCGCCCAGTACGGCGGTTACGTCACGGATATAACACGCACATGGCCTGTATCCGGCAAGTTCAGCCCCGCCCAACGCGATCTCTACACGCTCCTACTCGCGGTACAAAGATCCTGCATTTCGCTCTGCCGCACAGATTCAAACTTCACCCTCGACAAACTACACCATACAGCTTCCAACTCGCTGGCTGCTGGTCTGAAGGATCTAGGCTTCGACATGGATGCCGATGCTATTCAAACGCTCTTTCCACATCACGTGGGCCACTACGTTGGTCTCGATGTACACGACTCGCCTGGTCTGAGCCGAAGTAGGAAGTTTGAAAAAGGCATGTGTGTCACTGTTGAGCCCGGTATCTACGTCCCCAATGAAGAGCGCTGGCCCAAATGGGCGCGCGGCATAGGCATGAGGATTGAAGACAGCGTTTGCGTGGATGACGAGAGTCCTTATGTCCTCACCACCGAGGCGGTCAAGGAAGTCGTCGATATAGAGGCGTTGAGGGGGACGGAGACGAAGTTGTAAATGGGAATCGTGATATCCGCTTTTGCCTTTTGTGATGAAACGTGCTTGCCATTGCTTGATGTAGTCCTGTGGTAGAGATAGCTACAGCAGCTCATCTGAAGATGAGTCTGCTCACCAGCACAGAACATGGTCAAATAGTCGGAGCTAATCGCACCAACCCCTTCATCGCAGTTCTCACCAATCACGCACAGCAGAATCGCACTAGCGGCCCGCTCCAGGTTTTCCCCACCAGAGCAGCGAACAGCAAACCTACGCATCAACTCGCGGAGCTTAGCTCCAATGA